ATCTGGCAAATTCCCAAATCGCGAGTCGCCGCGATTATGGAGAGATCGCGTGAGGTATGCCCCTTGCCTTAGTGAAACTTTGGCATTTTAGGACATTGATTCGACATCGCGGATAGAACCAGGTGGTTGGAAGCGAGTGAACACATTAGGGCACTATAATGTACCTAACAATTCTGTGTTGATGTTGACGACTAGACAGAACTCTTTGTATAATTTGGTGAGTTGATCATTTGATTTTCTACCAAGAAATGTGCAATACTTCTTCTTTACAGTCGTTACTCTCTGAAAGGAGTGAAAAGTCAACGTTGAGCTTGAAGAATAGTCCGACACTCTCACGACCGTGGGTTGGGACTAGTAGCAGTAGCGCATCAAAGGTATCGTTCATAATTTATGTATTTTACTATTTTATTTTTTTCGTATTTCCGTCAGTTGTGATCTCCGTTACTTGAATCAGAATTATAATTTCATGATATATAGGATGCCGAAGGTCAAAAGCTGTACCATCTCGTCAAGCCCACAGAACATGGTCCATCGGAAAATCAAGAAAAAATGGTCACGGAAATCTACCTCACTAGGTCAGCACGGCATACAGTCAACTGTATAATCAACAGAACTTTTTTTGCAGGTTACTAATGATGAAGGGTACACTTCAAAAATTTATAAACGATCTTCTGGAGGCAATATTCTCCACCTCGTCAAGATCCGCACCATTACCTGCTGCTATCAAGTACATGTTTGATTTTATGGATGAACAGGTAGGAATTTTTGCTTACTGGATCTAATACACTAATACTGGATCTAATACACTTACTGGATCACTCCGTACACTTAACGTATTCAGGCACTTGAACACGGTATCACGGATGCAGAAGTGGTACATGCATGGAAGAGCAATGCTTTACCATTAAGATTCTGGGTCAATCTTATAAAGAACCCTCACTTTGTGTTCGATATCCAAAAACCGACCAAGGTAATCCCGGTTACTATATTTTCTCTTCTACTCAGTCTGCAATGTTTTGAGGTGGAAGGATGTTTGTCCGTGGTCGCACAGACTCTCATGGATGCATGTTCTACCCAAGACCATCAGCTTACAAAAGATTCACCATCAAGCAAGCTTTTGTTCGCTAAAGACATGTATCAGTATAGGGATTGGGTGGACAGGTATGTGGCCCACAATCTGCAGCATTCCTATGCGGGAACTAAAATTCTTTTCAGTTACTATTCGGATATAGCTCGCTTACCACCAATATCCGACCAAGATATGGCCAGCTTGCTCAATGAGGAATCCAGGGTGCATCGCGGACAATTCCATGTGTTTTCGGCATTGAATGAGCTCTATAAATATCTCGATCAGTACAAAGAGCCGATAATGGATGCGCTAGAACACAATGAACACGCGCAAGCAAGTCGATTACCAGGACGGTTACAGGTAATGAAAGTCTTCATTTATATTTGAGAAGACCTTATTTAGACTTGAAGTATAATCGAAGACTGTCAGTTGTTGTTAGTCAAAAACAAATTCCAAAATAGAACTATACGCTGTGAAAATGCAGGTTTTGCTTGCCTGCAGCACTGCTGCGTCCAGAGTTCTCGGGGAGACGGTCGTTAAGCGCGCATTGATCGGCCTGTCACTAATTAAAGGCAGTGTTCCGGCAGATTTGAGGTTGGTGAGTTAACGCTCCGGTGGGATTTCTGG